CTTCTCTGGCGAGGCAGATCAGTCGCCGGCTTCTGGACGGCCGCTCACTGCGGCTGCTGGCCGCTCACGCTGGCTGCTGGCTACACACGGTAGCCCATGGCAACCCACTGCCACAGGGGCTGCAGCCTACGCCGTCGCCGGCGACTCATGGCAGCCCAGCTCCAGGTTGAACTGTTGTTCAGCATCTTAGCTGTAGAGGGCAGTGTCACTGGCCCTCATATGTGGGATCCGAACCGGGGCCCTCTGGCATCCCAAGCGAGTTCTTAACCATCGCGCCACTCGGCCGGCCCCCCCTCATATTATCTTTATACGCTGTGGATAACCGGTAGCTGATCCTAGCTTTAAGACACGGGATCTGTGGAAGGAAACATGACTGCCACTCAACAGCCAGAGCAGGCGGTGGACTTCAGAGAGCTTCTGTTGGAGTTGATCTTGGCAGCCCAGTTGATTGGTTCCTCTTCCCGCCCTACCCAAGTTTCGGCCCCAGGCTCCACCCCTTCTAAGGCCCTCTTCATATTGGCTGAAGTCTCCCCTTCGTCCTCCCAGCCAATAGTAGCGCAAAAACTGGGCGGGAGGCGGGGTCCCAGCGCTCTAGGACCCGGCTGGCAGCAAGGGGGCGGGAGGACTGCAGGCACCTCGGCACAAAGATGCAGAAACCTCCTGATGCCTAGAAGGGCCGGAGGGTTAGGATGGGAGTTAGTGGGGGCATCGGTGACGTAGTTCCTTCTGCGCTTTGTTCCAAGATGTGGGTCAGGCGCTTTCGGTGAGGGGTATGTGCAGCCTGGCGTGGGGGTTCGGGCCGGGTTCTGAGCGTGGGTGGGGGACACCGGCTGGGAGCCAGGCCTCCTCCACGGCTGCCCGCTGCAGAAACGGCGATGCGGCAGCTCAAGGGGTCGTTTTGGGCCTCCCCCTCCCATCATTCGGCGCTGCTCTTTTGTTTGTGTCTCGTCTCCCTCTCGGTGTAGCTGCCAGCTCGGACCGGGCTGCTAGTGTTGACAGAACTGTGTGATCCCCACCCCTAGCCAGGGGACCGCCCTGGAAATAGCTGTCGAATTCCAGCGCCGGCTCTCAAAGGACTCTACAACCCCTGAGTGTTTGATTCAGATCACCAGTCCAATCCAAGCTGTGTTCCCAGTGAGGAAACAGACCCAGAGAGGAGGGCAGCGTCTTGTCCAAGGTTATTCATTCAACAAATACTTATTGAGCACCTACCTAAGTGTGCTAGGTCCTGGGATTACAGTTGTATGCAAGGCAGAGCTATATTTGGGTAGAAGAAATGGAACAAGCTTTAAGGGTTAAAAGCAGGGTCTGGGAATCTGGAGGGGGAAACACAAAACAGATAGATGTTGAGGCCTGCTGATCCTAAGAGACGGGTAATCATGTTTTAAAAGTCTCCTTCTAGCATCCTTTTAATACTTTATTTCTTCCTGTCTCTAAAGACCCTTGACTCAGCAAAATGCCCCTTTCATCTCTCCTCTGCAAACTTTTATTGGAAAGCTGAATTGCAGAGAACTTCTCAGTTGGATTGTATTTTGCAGTTAGAGAATATGGAGACTTGTAGATATAAAAGGACAGATTGAAAGGGAGTGACTGGTGTGATGGGATAGGATTTCCTTCACACACAGAAAGCTGGTCTCTCACTAGTCATGTGGCCTTTGGCAAGTCATTCAACCCGCGAGCTTCGTTTCCCCATCTTTAATGATCACCCTTACTGTTCACACAGTTCAATAGGAAGGGAAGTTACCCAGGGAGGGGATACTGCCCTGAGTGTCCACAGGGAATACAGCACTCAGGGAACTCAATCATTTCTACCTGTTTACAGTGATTCAAGGACCCATTAGGAACTTCCTCACCAAACCCAAGGAAGAGATCAGGCAAGCTCTGTGCGGGGCAGATCCTTCGGAGTGAGGCTGTTGTGCATACGAGTGAGTGAGTGATTCCTGTGTCTCTGGGTAGGTGAGGCCTATAATGTGAAATGAGTCTGGAGACAGGAGTCCTGCCTGCTAGAGAATATGGGGACCAGGGCTGAAAGGGAGCATTTCTGGATGGCTATTTATTGAGGAGGAGGGAGAGTGAGAAGTGGGAGGGGGGCCTCTGGTCCTTGAGGAGTCGAGTTTTGGGATGGGATGAAGGGTGATGTAGTAGAACTCAAATTTGGGTGTCAGGAGACTTGAACTTGAGTGCCAGCTCTCCTCTAATTTCCAATTTCCTCATCTCTACGTTTTGATTATAACACTAGCTGGCCTGGGAGGTTCCCTGCAGCTCTGAAGTTCTGAGAATCTCCGAATAGTTAGACTAGGTCAATCTTGTAGGGAATTTAGGCCCTTCAGTGGTCCTGTTGAGACAGAATTGCCAAGAATGCAAATACATGGTCACGGTGTTCAAACAGTATGAAGCACAGCAGGGAAGCGCAGGTGGAGGAGTGATGATAGTGGTGGTCATGTGTGGAGGGTGCACGTCTCACCATTCCTACATCCAAGGGAGTTAGAGAGAATCCTGAACTTGTGTGATTTAACACTTCAAATCACACATTTACAGAGCCCCCGCTGGGCCAGGCACTGTGGGATCCACATATGAATATTATGGGCCCTGCTCTCTGAAGGCTGAGAGCTTAATGTGTACATGTGAGGAGGAGGGACACAGACATACATACACATAGTTCTAGTATGAGACAGCTCTAGTTTATATTAGATTTGTTAGGGTGTTTTTTGAAGTACAGAAAATTTTAAATGGTCAACTCTATTAGGTTTGCTGTTATGGTGTCAGCCTTTAGTTTGTGCTTAAGGCTTGCTTAGGCCTTTCTCTCCCTGAGATCATCTAGTCCTTTCTTTCTTTGTTTCTTTCTTTTTAATTGGGGAATTGGGGGAGGGGAACAGTGTTGGGGAATTGGGGAGGGGGACCAGCCAAGTTGTTCTTCAGTCTTCGTTGTGGAGGGCACCAGTTGCCATCTGGCTGCCCATCGGCAGGTCATGGCCTCTAAGCTCAAAGTGCTGTGTTCAATCTTAGTTGTGGGTGGGCATAGCCACCATCCCATGCAGGAGTCAACACCAGCAGCCTTGTTTTTAAGAGCACACGCTGTATCCACTGAGCCATGCAGGAGGCTGCTCAGCTCAAGGTGCCGAGTTCAGTCTTAGTTGTGGGCTGGTGTAGCCCGCCATTGAACAGGCAGTCTTATTGTTAGGAGCACATGGTCTTACCAGCTGAGCCATCCTGCCACCTGTTGGCAGCTCAGCGGCAGCTCAGCTCGGGCGCAGTGTCACTGGCCCATGTGGGAATCGAACTGGTGGCCCTGTTGCTCAGAACTCACGTGTTTAAGCTAACTCTTAACCAACTGAGCCACTTGGCCAGCCCTTTCTTTTCTTTTTTAATGCGTCACTCATCTCTCTCTCTGGAATTTATTTTCAGGTATTGTCTCTTATTCCTCATTCCATTGCAGTTAATTAATAACCAAGAATCATGTGACCACTCCTCTGAGGGACCTGAACAGGAAGATGGTGCTGGCGAATTAAAGGAATACAACCTCCCTAGGTAACAAAACCAAACAAAACCAAAAAACCTCCCTCTCTCTCTCTGTCTCTCTCTCACTCTCTCTTTCTTTCTTTCTGAATAGGACTCTGTCCTTTGTGGGTTCCTCACAGCCTGAAATGAATGGTACTCCTGAGATCAGACCAGTTACCCATGAGTCTCAGGGATTTGTGGGTCATAGATCTGCGGGGCCTCATTGGTCCTCATCCATTCGCTGCCAGTTGTGCTTGTGTGCACAGTTCCCCGATACCCCTAATGTCCTGCTGGCCGTATGGCCTCATCTGTCTCTCTTCCTACTTCTCCAGCCAAGACCCCACCTCCCTAGTGCCTGGGAATTCTTCCAGAATTTCTGAGGAATTTCCTATCCATTCAGGTAGAGGATGAATAGTTAGATAAAACTATGCCCTTGCTGATCCCTTGAGAAGTCTTGCTTCCTCCTTAGGTCCCCCAGAGCCACCCTCGACTTCCTTATAGCACATCCTTGTGCATTTCTCTTTCTCCCTACCTGCCCATCTAACCAAAATCTCCACCTTAGCAAGCTTCTACATTTTCATGACTTCCTCTGTCTTATTTTCAAATTTGGAAGAATTTGTCAAGACAGAGCCCAAGAACAGGAATGTAGACAGGGGTCTAGTACTTGGAGTAGAGCAAAAAATGAAATCTTAGTTATACCATAAGATGGAATCCCAGTTGCTGTTCTATAAAAAAAAGTCTTGAGCACCTATTTTGTGCCAGCCACTGTATCATCGGTACTAGGGGAATAGGTCAGCAAGAACTAAACTCCAAAGTGATCAAAAGATTAGTCATTTGAGCTACTGAACTAAGGATCTTTCAGTTCATTTTTTTTTTGTAGGGACCAGATTAGGAGTTAGGTGCAATGCTGGGAATAGAGCACAAGACAGGAAGAAACCAGGGTGGATTTTATACAAGTTACTGCTCATTCTGATGCTTAGGTTCTGGATTTCCATAAGCCTTTACCTTGGCCTCTCTGCCTAACCTCATTTTTCTCATCTGTTTTGATCAGTTCCCCCTGCCTCTGAACACTTCCTCTTCCATGCGAGACCCTGTGATCTACCACATCTTGTTATCTCTGGATAATTCTCCTTCCTCTAGTATAGAATACAGGTGACATGTACAATTTCTGTTTCTTCTGTCAGATGGTGAAACTGGGACTGAGGAGTTGTTGATTCCAAAGTATTCCTGAAAAATCAGAATCTCTTAATCTCAAGAGAACGCCACAGAGGTGTTGCGAAGGAAGTCAAAATTTAGAAAGTTCCACTGAAGGGAAAGAGAAGACTCAGGAGGCCACTGGGATGCTCCAAGCAAGTGAAAATGAAGAGAAAGACGAGAAACTTCAAACATAAGACAGTTAAAGACAATAAAACACTCACGGAAGTGAGTGACCAAGGATCTGAAAAAGATGGTAGTCAGTGCTCTGATCCTGCAAGAAACAAGAGAATTCAGGCTGAAAAGAGACAGTACGTATGTCCGGAGTGTGGGAAAGCCTTTAGTCAGAGTGCAAACCTTACAGTACATGAGCGAATCCACACAGGAGAGAAACCCTATAAATGTAAAGAGTGTGGAAAAGCTTTCAGCCATAGCTCTAACCTTGTTGTTCATCGGCGAATCCACACTGGACTGAAGCCCTACACATGCAGCGAATGTGGGAAATCTTTCAGTGGTAAGTCCCACCTCATTCGGCATCAGGGAATCCACAGTGGGGAGAAAACCTATGAATGTAAGGAGTGTGGGAAAGCTTTTAGTCGGAGTTCAGGTCTCATTTCACATCACAGAGTTCACACTGGGGAGAAGCCCTACACTTGTATCGAGTGTGGGAAAGCCTTTAGCCGTAGTTCAAACCTTACTCAACATCAGAGAATGCACAAAGGAAAAAAAGTTTACAAATGTAAAGAGTGTGGGAAAACATGTGTTTCCAATACAAAGATTATGGACCATCAGAGAATTCACACAGGGGAGAAGCCTTATGAATGTGACGAGTGTGGAAAAGCTTTCATCTTAAGGAAGACCCTTAATGAACATCAGAGACTTCATCGTAGAGAGAAACCTTACAAATGCAATGAGTGTGGGAAAGCTTTTACTTCCAATCGAAACCTTATTGATCACCAGAGAGTTCACACTGGAGAGAAACCTTATAAATGTAACGAATGTGGAAAAACCTTCAGGCAGACTTCTCAAGTTATTCTACATTTGAGAACCCACACTAAGGAGAAACCCTATAAATGTAGTGAGTGTGGGAAAGCCTATCGTTATAGTTCACAGCTTATTCAACACCAGAGAAAACATAATGAGGAGAAAGAAACCTCATAAATAACATGTATTATTAGTGGTGGGACTAATTGCGACTTTTCAGAAAAGCAATTTTCCAGTATCATCAACCTTAATTCTATTTCTAAGAATCCATACAGGGAAAGTAATCAGAAGTAGACACAGATTACCAGGAGATATTCATGCCGCATGGTATATCTCTGAAGGAAGAAAACTAGGTTTTCAACAGTACAGGGTTTACATGAACGATGGTCTATCCATAGAATGGTTTTGCAGTCATTGCAAACATTTTCAAAGAATATTTAATGTCATGGGGGAAATGACTTGGATAAAATGGACGATAAAGAAAAAACAATGAAAAAAACAACAATGAAATATGATCCAAATTAAAAAAAAATTATGCACAGGAAAAAAAAATGGAAATGGAATAATACCAAATGAAAATGTTAACAGTGATTCTCTCTGGGTGATAGGATTACAGGTGATTTCTATTTTCTTCTTTATACTTTTTTATGTTTTTTAGATTTTTCTACAGTGAGAATGTACTACTTTTATATTCAGGAAAAAAGTACAGTATTTTTTTAATGCAATGAGTACATGCTCATTTGCGCTCAACAGTGTCAGGAAAGGCACGTAGACCACAGACCCTACAGTCCTGGAATTGCACCCCAATACTGGCACTTAGTAGCAGGGGAACCACGAACCAGTCACTTCCTTTTAGAGCCTGTTCCCTGTTTAGTAAAATCATAAACATTAGTCATTGGTTTTTTTCAGCTTTAAGATAAACTGACTTTATAGTTGTCAACAAAGTGTATAATCCACTTACTTATTCACTGTTCGATTAAAAGAACACAGCAAAAATTTCCTGTCCTCCTCTCCCCTATAGAAGGATCTGCAGATAATAGAAAACTGCTGAGGCTCCATCTTTTCAATATATGTGAATTAAACCAGAAAAAAAAATGTATCTTTATGAAATTGAAACAATTGCAAGTTCATAACCTTTAAAGAGATAAAGTCGGCATAATCTAAAACTAGGGGAAGCCTGCTTTCACAGGTTATGTAGAGCCTGGTCACTAAAAGTGTAGACTTTGGGGTCAGAGGTATGTGTTCTAATCCCAGATCTGCTATACACTAGCTTGTCAGCTTTGGACATGCCACTTAGCTGCTCTCAGCCTCAGACATATCTGTAAAAAGGGATTAAACTACCTACCTCATAGGGTTGTTGTGAGGATTAAATGAGATAATGCATGTAATGTGTGACAAGCCCTGCACTGGGTAAATAATAATTGCTTAAGTTTAGGACGTTGGAGCAGAGTTTCTAAACACTTAGCAAGAGCAATTCAAGAAAAGTTTTACCTAAGGTAGCATTTAGGATATTTTCAGGTATAATGAACACAAGGTCAAGTACTAGTAGCTTAAACCTTAAGAACATTGTTTATTTAAGGGGAAGTCTAGAGGTAAGCAGTTCCAAATTTGGTCTGGCAGCTCAGCAATTCATCTAACTTCCACCTGAACGCCATAATTTTCAGCATATTGGCTTTCATTTGTTGCCGCCTTATTCTTGCAAGATGGTGATCACAGCTGCCAGCTCTTTCTTCACACAACTCCTTCAAACCAGGAAGTAAGGAAAGGAGCTGAGACATCCTCATCTGTTTCCTTTCTCCTCTTATCATTGAGAAAAGCCTTTCCCGGAAGAATGAAAGGATGCTGAGCAGTTGATACTGCAGGTGCTCACTAGCTTCTGCCTTTCTTAATGTCCAGCTCTCTGAGAAGGCCTTAGCACATTTCCAAACAGTACTTTAAACTTTTAAGTGCTTAGCTCAAAATCTGCCTGGGAACACTTAGAATGTCCCCATACTTACCTCAGCCATTCCTCTTTCTTTATATACAGTGAGTCCTTAAGCCTAATGCCATTAAGCATATAATGATTTGTTTCAGGAATTATTGAGGATATGTTATCTCATTTAATCCTCATAATATTTGTACAAGAAAACTGAATCTCAGTGAGGTTAGGCTAGGAAGTGGTTGGAGCCAGGATTTGAACTCAGATCTGACTTTGAAGTCCACACTGTCTTCCTTATACCAAAGTGCCTCAGCCTGCCATGGTGGTTCTATATGTGAGTGGGAGACCAGTTGGGATTCTTCTGGGTAGCCACTTCTATGAAAGGTGAGTGTATCTGGACAATTATTTCATCATGATTTCATAAGGAAGATGCGACCAGTCTTTTCTGAGTTCGATTTATGGCCTTGTAATTTAGTTTTAAGGATTACATATTTCTTCCTTGCTGTTACTGGAAAGAAATGGGAAGAATGAAGGATATAGTTGTGTAAAAAGGAATTGTTTCATTTTGTCCTATTTTTATAGGAAAGTGGCTTACACATAATTTTGTGATATAATCGTCCCTTTCTGCATACTTATTCAAAGCAAGGTTTGGAGATTCTGGAACAGATTTGCTGCTTTCAGGGGATAGGACTGAATCTGAATCATCAGTCACGGTTAGGTAGGGACTTCCCCAAGAGTAGATAATCCCCGAGTGCCAATGGCTAAAACAGAACAGCAGTAAGGGCATTTCCATCATTTTTCCCTTGTCACGTGTCCTTTTAAAATTAAAGGGGTTTGTAATTAGTATTCCATGCCTTTGTCATGCCAGCCATCTTTACCTGCTGATCACCTGTGTGGATCACCACGGCTAATGTCTACTGGCCCTGTCAAAACTGCTTTAGGGAAAGAGTTAGCTTCCTGTGTGCCTATCAGGGGTTGTTTTTGAGCATTAATTGTTGGTAAACTAAGTTGTTGATGCTTCCTGTATTGCTGAGCAGGTATTCTCTGACCAAAACATTTTCCCATCACTGCGTCATAGTGTCTGGAATTCTTTTTTCAAATAATCTTCCTTTTCATCTTAAAAAACTTTGCGATTGATCTTGGAGAGTAAATACCTCCAGGAAGGGTACCATGTCATCTCAAACCCAGAGATATGAATACAAATCTTCACATTCCTTGCCCCAGGCAAGCTAATAGACTATTGAGGAGGCCCGCATGCGTCTTCTAGGCTGATCCCTGTCTTGAGCTGCAGGAGTAAACCTTCTCAAGTGGTCCCTCTGCCCTTTCAGATAAATATTCTGCAATATATTTTGAACTAATTGCCCACCTTCCTCCAGGAGTCTACCAAGACTACTAGCTGTTTACTTTAGCCAGAGTTTATATAAGCAGTTCTTTCAAACCTTTTCATGATACCTTCTGGAATTCATGTCTCTTTGAATATGTTCTTTCAGCTTCCTGTTCTAATGGAAACCAGGTTGTTCCGTTATAGCAGTGCTTTCTCTGCAGTCCCTCAGTTGTTGATTTTTGTTTCTCAACCCATTTATCTCTCTGTACTGCCATTTCTTTGTTCTCCATCAAAATGTATATCATTAAACTACCATGTCTTACTCATCCCTGGTCTTGTCAGCTACTGGCTTCCTGTGCACTCACATTTATTCATTTATGTTTTTAGTACCTTGAATATTCCTGAGGAATATGAAGAGGCAACATTTTCAGGCACAGACATCCTGGTTGTATAGAATTGCTCTTGTGTGAAATAGAAATATAAATGTCTCTTTTTAGTTGAGAGAAGAAGTGTGAGTTAAAGTTTCATTTTTATATTGCCTTGGTTACAGGGGAATAAGAAGACAAAGAATCAATGCATAGAGAGGAGAGTGACTCCCTAGGCTCAGAGATAGTTCTCATTGATGGTATGTACTGTGTTAGACCTTACTTGGATCTGAGAAGAAAATTGAAAACCAAAAAGACCTTCAAATAGCTGAGTAATTCCATTGAATCTAAATCCTATTGGACTAAATTTCATTTCAGCTGTGTATCTTCTGGAAGTGACAGACTTCCTTTTTTAATTTTTTTTCCATTCAATATAAATAAAATAATATACTCATATTGTTAATTTAAAAAAAAAGAAAATAGACTGTCTTTCCACTGATGTTATAAAACTGGAGTCATCAAACTGTTTTTGCAGGAAATAGTTATAATTCTGCCAATAAATATCTGTTGTTATTTACTTGTTATAAATATCACTGATTTTTTTTTCTTTTCACTTCTTTTGTTCAGTGTGGGGAAAACACAGTTCCATCTGGTTTTCTTTATTTTCTTCCTTTATTTTTAAAGATTTTTATTGGGGAATTGGGGGGAAGGGGAACAGACAAGTTGCTGTACTTTTGTTCTTCAGTCTAGTTGTGGAGGACGTTGCTTCACTGGCCCAAGTTGGCACCATCATTGCGCTCTTCCCGGGCGAGGCAGATCAGTCGCCGG